TGCATTCTATTTGTTTTCTTGTATTTATTATACAGTTAACAAAAGCAAAAAAAAAGGCCTCCAACACTAGCTTGTTCTATTCTTTTTCTATTCTATCTATTTTCTTTTTATTTATTATATAATTTAAAAAATAACTCGCTACGTGTACTGCGTTAAGCTAACTGAGACTTAGCACTTACATATCATTGCTCTCTTGTTGATTATATATATATATATATATATATATATTAATGTTTATACCTGAGCACTGCCTCACTCCATAGACCTTAAAGTAAAGGTAGTGTCATAATTTTTTGACAGGAAGTTGTGAGAGACAGAGTTTCAGTGTGGTCAATGTAACATGCCAATTGTTCAGCTGACAAAACGTTTGTTTAAATGTAATGTTAAAAACTATGAATCATCATATTGAATGAGGTTCACAAATGCTATTTGCAACACAACTGCTTTAGATCACTTTAGATGGGTTTTTACAAATGTGCCATTTGCAATTAACTATACCCATTGCAAATTCTAAACTGAGTGTGTACACACTGCTTATCAAATTTAAAGGCTGCACACACCCATCTTGATGTCTTCATTCCTGGCTTACTTTCTTCAGCCCCTCATCATAGCTGGGCACTGACGTCACTCTCCGGTTCCCTGTACACAAATACACAGCTTATTGCTCTGTTTGGGATCTGGCACATTTATAGGCCTGTGGAATCAGCCCACGCTGGAATGAGAATGCTCGTTTAGGGTGGATATGGAACCTGCAATGTTGGCAGACACACGCACATACACAGGAAAAAAAAGAACAGAACCTTCACACAAACACTTTATTACATGAACAACTCTCATGAAAGTGGAAAGTGGCTTTTGAGAGGCATATTTATGTAATCAGGGTAAAATGAGACACGAACATTTAGATGCCACTTGTTTACGCAAGTAAGTATTATAAATTTAAAATAAACAATTTATTATAACAACAGTAATATATTAATATATAAGAGTTAAAACTACTTCTAACCGTTCAAATAATAATGTACGACAAAATAATGTTATTTTGGTCAGTCATTAACCTCTGAATAATAAAATAATTTTAAAATGAAATGTAAATCATTTTTTAAAAATATATATTTTGTTAACTTGCAAATTGTGACCAATTAACCAACATCAGAGAACCGTGAAATAACAAAATTGTTATATAAATAGTAAATATTAGGGAAATAGTTTAGCTCACAAAATAGTTTAGGAAATAGTAGTAGTAGTAGTAAAGTATTTGAAGTGAAGTAACAACACACAAACTGGGAAGAAGCATTTATTCCCCTCATTTGAGGTACAGAGAAAGAAAAGGACAAATATTCACATGTTGCAAGCATGTACTGTACTATATGCCCCTATAGCTATATTTCAAAAATACTGTATTTGTTTCACATAGATACACGTAACACCTAGGTGAAACTTATGCAACTACAAGCAATTGTCCTTATTGTTCACCCTCTGGTTGGCCTAGCTTATTGACCCTTACACGGGTTACAACTGCAGTTTACATTCAGTAAAAAGTATTGAAGTATGCTGCTAAGTACATTACATCCACAATCAAAATCCTCAGAAGGATTGGTTCTGAAATATACTGCATGGATAGGATTCCTGCTGTCCCTATTTAAGATCACATGTTGAGTTCTGTACTTCATTTTTTTACACATCAGGATAACACAGGCTATGTTTGGAATAGTATACTAGCATACTCATCTTACTATTTTTGCAGTATGTTATTTGTATAGTGTGAATAGTATGCACATTTTCTGGAGAATACTATATCCCACAGTACACTGTGTTCAACTTGACCTTTTATTTCCAGTGTGATTAATAAACCAGAAGATTTTTTTTTCCAGAAATGAATCAATGCAAACTAACACAAACGAACGTTTTATATATATATATATATATATATACACACACACACACCCACAGTAGTCAACATTTTAAGTGGATCAAAAAAGTTAATCAAAGTTGTCCTAAGACAAGAGCACATTTTGGTTTTAGGTTAACTTTGATGAAAGGTTTTGATCCACTTCAAATGTTGACTACTGTATGTATGTATGTATATATATATATATTTGAGTATGCTACATAGTAAGGCGCATGTTTAATATATGATGTTGTACGATTCTAGTATAGTGTTTTTTTCTCGTTCTTCACTTAAGATTTAATTACTTTGGAATACACATCAGATAATCAGCTCTGATAACTGATACATTGTTATGGTCAGACTTACATAACATCTGAAGTTGAACAATGACTTGGACTATCTGGCCTGTGTTGTCATCATATGTGATTGTTAGCTTTCCGGTTTACATTGTTTATAGATCGAAAAACTATTTTATCAAAAATTAATTAAGGCCCATTCTGGCATTAAACTGATTGTCTCTCATCACATTTTGCTGTCTAAACCAAATGCAACCTAAATGTGGTCTTACATTTTACTCTCAATCCGATGATCTCAACATAACCATGTGGCCCAATCATGAGACGTTATCTACAAACCACTGACTAATCTCTGCTCACTCCTGTTAAACACATCACAGAAACCAAACCATTTAGTTGTGGTTTAAAAGATAGTGCAGTGGTCATGGCCTTGTCGTTATAATAAGTTCTAAGTGGGTTTCCTGAGAGATAAAGAGGATGAGACGGCTAAAGGCAAAGGGTTGCCGTCTCCTCATTCCTCTTCTACATTCTGGCCCTGATCACATTTCCTGTTTTGTCAACAGGCCTTATCACAAGGGCTTTTGTTCACACTAATATCCTGCAAAATATAAGGCAATGCAAACAAACATTGTCTTTATGTTGGGGATTTTTGGTCCACAAATTTGTGATGTTTTGTCTCTGCGAGTTTCCAGACCTTTCCCTCAAGCACACGGAGGTTCCTCAGCAGAGAGCAGGGGGCTGCAGGTTGGAGCGTTGCTCAGAGGGCGGAAAGCGAAGATGGATGGATCGTAGGAATATCGGGGTGCGTGACGGCCACCACTCAGGTTCTGTGAGGGAACCACAACAAACAAACAAAAAGATATGAAGGTGACTGGAAGCTGAAGTGGGAAGAAACTGGATTTGATTTATTAGTGAGTGTCCATGAAGTCTACAAGACTGTAAGGAGTACCATTCGTCATTTTATGATTCAGAAAGGGTACTCTTGAGCACCCCTTTGTGATGGTCTAGGCTGAGGGAGGCATTTGCAAGAAGGCAATTTGACTATATCTCAACCCCTAAATGGCCCCCACAACTTCCAGTGCAGTGGAGTGTATTGAATTTGTGAGAACAT